CATCCCTAGATGTTACACAAGTAAAGTGTTAAGAGAGTGAAGTGTTGCTTTACGAATTTCAACACTTGATGCTGTCACATTGATTCAGATTTCAGATTCCTGTATTTGCCCAACTGAATTAGTTTAAAGGTGACCTGTCATGCAAAATCAACTTTTGTACGTCTTTTATACATGAATATGTGTCCCCTGTGTTCCAGGGAACTCACCAAGTGTCAGAAAACACAACCCTCTCTCTTTTCCTCCATACCCAAATTTCTAAAAACGGGGTTGCAACGGAGCTGATACAGATTTGAATTGTTCTGACGTCAGAAAAGGGGAGCTCCGCCTATATGGGCAACTCTCCACCTATCAGGGGAATGTGTGGTTGGGCCACGGCCGGCCATTGCCGCTCGAAAGCGCTGGAGACGCTGTAGTACATATGCCAGGCCTGTAAGTGGCGCTGTAGTCTGCCACAAAAGCAGCGAAGAAGACTTCTCTTGCATGGTTGCCCTTCTGTTTATTCTCCGCTGTGGCACTTTTTCTCCCTCCCCGAGGCAAGCGTTTGCGCCTCCTGCTTTAAAACAAATGAATAATGACTCAATATAATGTTATGTAAGGGATAATGTGCAGCGACGCGGTCATTATGGGGAAAAGAACACCGACAGGCTGATCAGGAGCCCGACGCGAAGAGGAGGGATCTAGATCGGCATGAAGGTGCTCTTTTCCCCATAATGACCAAGTCGCTGCACATTATCCCGCTTATTACATGGACACATTCTCAACAAAGTAACGACATGACTCCCAATATTAATTGAAATGCTTTTATTGATTTAAAAAATAGTTGTATTGATTTAAATTGACATGCATCCGCTAAGAAAAATAGTCCGTTGTTACTGCTTGAACTAACGTAGCAACGGCAGGAACTGCTTTGATAGCGTTTTTGAGGAGCTCTTTGATTACAGATTTGAAAACATCGTTGCTTACTTTAAAAGTAGCACAATTCATTATGTCAAACATTGGAAAGTATCTAGATATCCCTGCCCTAATGCCAAAGTAACTGCCAACTCCCTTCTCCTGCAGGGGGGCGTGGTTAGTTGCAGCTCACAGAATCAGCCCCCTGCAAAAACAGGGCTGGAACGAGCAAATAGAGCGAAATGAGGCATGGCTAAAATGCAGGATCTGTTTGGTGTTTTGAAAAAACTAAACTATATTTATATACTTTATATAGATGTGGCCCTACAATATATGTTTCAAATGTAGCATTATAGATCCACTTTAAGTAATGTTCATATGTGGAGGTTATCCTGCTGAACAAAACATGTAAGTATCATAAACGTTTGTTTGCCACAGAGCTTATTTTCTGCAATATTCCAAAAACAAATGTATTTATTGCAGAGTGAGCCCTTGCGATGCTAACTTCCGAACCCTGTCAGTATCTCATGCAGCTCACTGATCCAGTAATGACTGAGTGACCCGACAGTGAAGAATAAATATATTTATAACTAGTTTAGCTTGTTCCAGAGGTAGATAAAATAGCTAAGTGTGTTAGGTCTAACTCTTAGTGTGTGTTGCTCCGCTCACCGGTCCGTCACAGCGGGCGGAGCTGCAGGATTTCTTCTTCACGCGCGTTGCATTCCGCTATTTTATTGTCTTTTTCAGACACCTTAAAATACTGCCAGACCGGTGAAGCCATTTGGAGAGCTTGTTTTGCCGCGCACAGAGAAAAGTGTCATTTTACGTCATGTGATCGGCTCTCCCGATCGGCAGAGAGTGAATATCGGCCGATATCGATCGGCGCCCGATCGATCGGCGCCCGATCGATCGGAGCATACTCATCAGTTATTTAGATATGACAAAAAAAAAAAGTAAAAGAAGTTGAATTCAGAACATTCAGAAACGACTTCACTGCTACTGCCTTAAAAAACAACTTAATACAAATAATACAAAACATTTTGTTGATGCAAGATTGACAAGAAGAGTGTTTATGTGTGTACATCCAATTCAGCTGCAGTAGTCCTCTGTCTATTGTATGGAAGAAAAAGTTTCCTTTCCATTAATTTTCCTGCATGCCTCATATCATCTCTGTCAGTAGTTTTTGTGCATCCTCTAATCTCTCGAACCCCTTGACATTTAGCTAGGAACAGCGGAAAGAAGGGAAGCAGAGAAGAAGAAGCATTATACTTGATTAGATCAGAGGAAAGAATCAGATACGGCTCTCTAGCTCATGACATTAATGTTATAGAGTTATGGCTTCAGCGGTTATGACATGATATTTTTATCAGATCAATAATTCAATAAACCTCAGCACTTGCTGCTTCATAAAAAATACACTATCAGACGGTATGGACTTATACTACAATAAGAGAGACGTTATGAAGTACAGCAAACGGAATTCCGTTTTTTTTCCTATATCACAAACACAGGAACATAGTGTCACACACTGAATTCCAGACAGTATTTTCCTGCAGGTAAAAGCACCAAGACACATGTGGTCTAAACAGATATATGATCAATACATTCACCTGTGTAATAATGACTGAGCCAATTATTCAAACCAATGTTGTCAAACACATTGTGTGTTTTTGTGTGTGTCTGCCTTTTTAAAAGTGTGCTGCAATGTAAAGCTCTGTAAATCATCTGTCTGCAATGCATTATTCAATGTTGCAGTGAACCAGGATGGCTGCATAATTAAAGTCAAAAACAAAGAAATGCTACTAAAAGACAACAACAATAAAAATAAACAGGTAATTCCCAGCTGCTGACATCAGGTCAAAGACTGAAGGTCCTAATTCATTTCTGAAAAGAACTATAAGAAATGCTTTATTCGATCGGCTGTGGCCGTCCTCAATAAGAGCCTGTTTAAATAAGGCTCCCCACACACACACACCTTGCCTCAAACTTAAGCTCCCTTTTCAAGCATCAAGGATCCTTCATAGGGAATTCTGCCACCAACATCATAACCTGATTTTAATGAATAGTACATTATTTAATTGTAATACAAATGATAGTTTAATGGACCCGAGCCAGTGGAAGAACAAACCACTGCACTTTTATTAAGCCTTATTATTTATTTAAGACGCAATTTCCTTCTTTGTGTGTGTATGAGTTGCATTTTGTACTGTATATAGTGAGTGTTACTTTATTTCATTTGCCAGTGCCAAATACACATTTCCATTATATGTATTATTAATAAATTATACATTTAATGGACAATAAAGTATTTTGAATATGAATCTGAGAAACAAAACAAAGGAATGCCTTTTATGACAGGCAGCGAAATGGACAAGAATGAAAATCCACAGGTAACAATGCTTACAGTAAGGAATCTACGATATTCAACTAACAGGGTTGAATTGGACTAGTTGGTCCACGTTGTAAACAACCTTCAGTGAGATTAGCTAGCACTAGTTAGCCTCCAAGCTAATAACTGAGTAACTTGCTCACTCGAGCAGCGCCTGGTTCTGGTTAGGAGGTGACGCTCAATGTGTACGGTAACTGTTAACTGTCTGTAATTAAAGATGGTATGCCTTAAGGGAAATATGTCCATGTCTTCTAATGGAAACAAGTTCAGCAGTAGCGTAAACTAACGTTACACATAGTAAGCGACGTTGCGCTAGCTTTGCTGTGCACCAACTTCAATGGCCATACCGAAGCACTTCAACTCAACTAACGTCACCTGTAAAAAAGTAGCGGCAAAACAAATACTTTAGTCTCAAATTCACCACAGCAGATTACATTGGGTCTCTGGGCATTTACGTCAATTGATAAAACACAAAGTAAACTACGGTAATTTTTCTGACAAACAATATAGTTGAGGTGCCTTCACTGCCATTCCACTTTGTGTCTGCATCTGACTGTACGCACAGGAAATACAAACAAAACAGGTTGTTTTACTTACAGTTATAATACTTGAAAGTGTAAAGTTAAATCCTTGGAACGAACAGCATCGGTGTCGTTGATAAAAACATTATATTTCTGTGGCAATAGCTGAAGTATGTCTGGTGTCCCTGCCTGTCTGACTGGTTTTGGGAAAGAAAAAAACCTGCTCTGGCACCAGCAACCAATGGCTTTGGATGTAATCGTGACTGACGTCTCCCCAACCAACTACCAGTGTTGAGCCCTTGTGGTTGGTCTCTCAGCCAATAAAGTAAGACTAGGCGGGATTGTATGGGATTTGACAAACGCGAGTGACATTTGCTTGGCCCAATCCCTGCAGTGCAAACACGACAATTTTAAAGTAGGCGGTATTTCGAAAGTTGTATGAACCAATCCGGTAAAGTGGAGAGCTGATACTAATGGCGGCAGCAAAACAATAGCACGTTGGGGCTTGACAGGGTACATATTTAAAAGAAAACCAATAAATCATCAGGTGATGAAGAACAATCCAAGATGTGGGAAGCAAATACCCTGTCCACATTATGTATCTACTGTAAGGCGTGATATTTTATTTGAACAGAGGCAACAACTGTTTTTCCCCTTCTCTTTTCTCTCTCTCAAGCATGAGTCCACTTGGCCCCCCCTGGTGTATGAGAATCAGTGTAGGCTGCAACCCCTTTATATACAGCCTATGGCTGCAACATGCAGGTGGTTCAGGCAGTGTTCAGTTCCACGTGTTTTGTTCAATTATTTAGAGGCAACTTTAAAATTGTGTAGGCCAGATATACCTTTTCCCCGTACATTTTTTTGGCAACCTTTTGGGAACATTCTTGCCTTTTTTCCATTAGATGTACACCTTGAATTGTGTTTTATATTATTGGTTTGTTAGTTAGTTAGTTAGTGAGGTCATTCTTAACCCAGTGTTTGAATTATAAAATGAAAATTGGAAAATGACACACAATCTCGTTAAAAGTAATCCCTCTGAGTTGTCTGAATAGTCGGTAGGCCTATAGTTGAATAAATAGTGTACATTCTGCTGGTACCAATGGGCTAAAGGGGGAATCCGGCATCTCAAGGACCAATGTGAAAATTGTCATATGGTTAACTTTGAATACATGAAATATTTTAACTTTTTGGCAAATACAGATTTCTGAAAATATCTTCTGCTCAGGCACTTTCATCTTTCAGTTCTGAATTGTTTCTGGGATCTGGCCCAGAAACTATTCATATTCCTATGTCATTTGAGTATTATCTCCAAAAAACTGCAGATACAGTACAGGTTTTCACTAAACTCTACAGAAGCCAATTTGTTGTGAGGCAAATAGAAACATTTAAACCGTAATTTGAGCATTGGAACAGCTGTTTTATTCAACATAGCAGCTTAGGTAATGGTCATATTCCGACTCTTAGAACAAAAGACTGGTTCCTGGACATATTTTAAACATTTACATTTTAAATGTATCATTTTGTCTGAAGATTCCTAGTTCTTGGAATAGGGATGATCAAACAGGAACGTTTGATTTGGACCATTTCTCAAGATATTTTCTAACTAACCCTTCAAGTTATTTATAGTTCATTCTTCTTGCGTTTTGTTAGTCTCCTTACCATGACCCTCTCCTCCCCTCTCTGTCAAAAATAACCACACAAAATGTGTAACATGACAAACAGCATAGTTATTTATTGAGAAAAAATACTGTACAGGGAGGACAGATAAATAAAGCTTTATTATTAATTAAAAAAAACATCATTCAACTAAACAAAATCCACAGTTATCAGTACTTTGGAAGTTCAAATTTGTACATAAAACATATTTACAAAATGTGTTGTTTTGCCCTTTTTTATATTTGTGCATAAATTGAAAAAAAAATACACTTTGTACCTTTTGTTTTTAGTACAAATACATGTCAAAAAGATCACAGTGGAAAAACTGTAATGTGAGTTTGTAAAATTCCATATACATGTTTTTTCTAGTGCACGCTGAATGATGACACTGCGGAGGAGAGAACCAGGCATCCCAGCCTCATAAACTCTCTGATCAAACATTTATTTCCCGTGATTTAGCTTATTTTGTCTCAGGCATCGAAGGCTACAGATTGTTTATTGAGCTGTATAACTGTACAGGGGAAACAACAGCCCCACATCCCACAACTGAACTCATTAAAATGACAGATGATGAAAACCTGAAGGACGTCATTTCGCCGGATGATAAGTGTTTATTGGTGTTTAAACTAATCTCCTCCTCACAGCAGGATTCTAGCTGCTACCACATGGTGCTGTGATCTATGCTAAGAGAGCATCACCAAAATGAAAAAGATAGAAGTTTTAGTAAATGAATGAATACTGTCTTTATTTTTTAAGAAGGGGAATAGATGGGGATTATGTGCTTGTTAGTCTTTCTAAAGTTTCTGACATCTGAGGTTGTTTAATTAACAAAAATCACTAATACGACAAATGTGACAAACACCATGTTTCTGTAGGAGAACATAATCATTCAATAGTCATAGAATGACTTGTGGCACCTCGTGGTCTAACACATAGCATGAGAAATGAAATAAATTAAACAGGGTTTAAAAAACGTCTTCGACATTTCTCTTTAAATTGGGGGAATTCTTCACCCACAATATGTCACCTACTACGCAAAGGCTAAATCTGCAATTTTTGCATATAAAATGTTACAGTTGTTCATATTTGTATCACTGAAATTAGGAAAAAGAACCACCAGAAATGCTCCTTTAGCCTAGACCCCACAAAATGCTGCTGCTAGCTTAAAAGCTAAAGACAGACAGCAAGAAAAAACGTCTTCATGATTTAGAATGTAAACTGGTACATTTTAAAGCCATAGCTAGCTACTGAGCTCTCTATGCTTCAAACTGATATCACGTTTTCTCCAGTGGAGTCTGCTTGAAAGCTAGTTCAGCAGGCCAAGTCATGGCATGACACGACTAAAAAGCATTAGCTTAGCTTGAAAGCTAGGTTTTAGTTCAATGTCTGTCGCTTTCTTTTAGTTTTTCTTTTTAGGCAGACAATCATTTTGATCTGACGGGTTAATGCATTTCAAATATATTTTTGCGCTTTATCTTTTTAAGCAGATCTGTACGCTTGTGCACAACGTCTCAATGAGGTCCTATTGAAGCTGTGTGAAACTGGTTTTGATGTAAATCTTTAGGGAAATACAGGATTTTCTTCATGAGTTTGAGCAAGTCTCTTAAGAAACATGACTGTGTGTTTGCTTCTAAAGAAGCAGACCAACTGCTGAGAGAGGGGGTATTAGAGGAGAGGAGGAGAAAGGGAGAGAAGAAGGAGAAGAAGGAGAAGAGGGGAGAAAGGAAATTACAGGAAAGGAAGCGAAGAGGAGGAGGAGGAGGAGGAGGAGGAGGAGGAGGAGGAGGACTGCATATAGAGAGTGAAAGTGAGACGGGCTCCTGCCTCTCAGTTTCAGGAGAATTGTGCTCCTCTCAGCAGAAGGATGAAATATTATTCTCCAGTCTGCTGCTTCCTATGAAATGCTTCTCTGCAGAGAATAGGAGGAGAAAATCAATTTGGTGTAAAGCTACGATATATTATTGTGGAGGAGTGTGTGTCGGTGTGTTATCAGCACCTGCAGGGCTGTACACACTGTTTGGATTAAGAGGATTCTGGGTAGGAATTAAGAGAGCTATACTTGGTTTTAAAAGTTCAATGCAGAGGGATTATATGGAGGTTTAAAGTATCTGCTCTTGCAAAAGAAACTTTAAAAAAATATTTGTTATTATCCTCATTTAACATATAATCTAATACATGTATGAATTGTCTTTCCAGTCAAATGTAAAACAGCCATATATTGGAACACGTCTAAAATGTGGAGTTCAAAGGAGACTTGAATGCAGATAATTAAGGATTGTTCTTTCAAAAATAAAAGCAGGGAAGTTTTACAGTAGAATAAACCTGACTATGGTATAGACTGCTCATTTTTTAAATTATGGCTGGTTGTGAAATAACAGCCAAAGAATAAAAGACCTTCAGTGAAAGAAAGGTGACTTAACTCTTCTCCCGAAGGGTGTGAAAGTAAAACAGATGAACAACAGTAAAAACTAACATGACCAATGAAAGTGGATCAGAAAACAAGAAATAAGAAATAAAGGCCTCTCTGTGCTTATAAGTGGTTTAAAGTCTCCAGTGACTACGTGACAGTCTATTGTATAATTTCCAGCAGGTAGTGACCGTCTGTCTTTAAAGAGTGGTATTGAGTGGTGTGACAGTGAGTTTGAATATTGTTCTTACATGACGTCAAGGTAAACCCGGTGATTGTCTATTATTTGAACACTTTTACAAAAGAAGGGCTGTGAAATATTTTTGTTATTTCTAATATCAAAATGTGGGAAGCTTTTTACGTTTCATAAAAACGTCTGTTGGTATTAAGTGTCTAAATAATACAACTGAAAGTATTCCTGCAGAAAATTAGCCACCTTTAGCTTAGCGAAAGTGGCGTGAAGTCATGTGACTGTGACAGAGTTATTTTATAGCCTAACATGAGCTTTTTATTTCTGGCGATTGCATTTACGCTTCAATAATCATCAAGTGGTGTTACTATGTGGAGATTATCATGCTGAAAAAGCATTAAAGTATCGTAAACGTGTTTTCCACAGATCTCATTTCCTGCAGTATTCCAATAGCCAATGGAAAAATCCCATTGACTTTCTTTTAAAGGAACCCTTGTAAAGCTGACTGCGCCATTTGGTCAAAAGTTCACCAAGGAGCTACTCAATGGATTTTGTTTTATCAACTAATGTCTCCAAAGTAAGAACAAAACGTCAAGTGAAACTAATATTCAATGACAAACACCCTTAAAATGTGTAAAAAATACACAACTACAAACTCATCTACTGTAGCTGTTTTTTTCATTGAAATGTGTCTGGAATAATTCATTCTGAATGCAGAAGTTTAAAAAAACAATAACATGATATCTTCATATGATCTCAATATATGTCCTATAAAAGTCCATATATTCAATAGGAAGTCATTTTTAATGCTGTTTTTATGGGTAATGCTTATAATTCTGTCTTCTCCAAATAGTCTTTTAGTAGGGCTTTTACTACAAACAACAGTGTCATACTAATCATCGGGAAACCAATGTCCAAATGGTACACTTCTTAATAATTAACTTCAATTAAATGGACATGCAAAAATGTAAAAATATGTGAAATGTAGAAGCAAGCATACATACAGTACGGAGCCCCTGAAGTCCTGAGAGATAATCATGTAGAGCGGAAAATAAAAAAAAGAATCTTTAAGGACTTTGAGGGGTTTGACGTAGAGACAATAAAATGTTTAATTTGAAAAGCGCTTAACAACACAAGCCAACATTCACACACACACACACACACACACACACACACACACACACACACACACACACACACACACACACACACACACACACACACACTGTGATGTCAGACTTTCAAGGAGCTTCCCATTTTCCCTGTAATAAGTACCAGATTACTTAAACAATTCTGATTCAATAATTAGGAAATGACAGAAGAAAATACTCATGTATATAAAGTGCATGTTAAAATCTTTGTATTCCTGATCCTGTTGAGCTGAAGTGATTGTCACACTGAGACGATTAAAGCTGAGCACTGATTCTTCTGCAGGGCTCACACGGAGCTAAATTCATACACCACCTATCCCACAGGAGTGATGTCTACATATTGGAGGTGATTATCTGAGAATGTACACTTTGAGCATGAGTCATCGCAGACTATATCTATATCTAGATATCAGACGTAAGGCACTATAAGCAGAGCGTGTCCCTCTGTGACTGACCTGTGATTGGTTGATTGTCTGTGGACACACTGACCTCTGCACAGTGTGGACAGTGAGCAATGAGGCGTGGCGACTGTTACTCCCTCATATCTGACAGCTTGACAGATAAAACTGGAGTTAAAGCAAATGTGGTGACACACAAATCACACTTTAGACTAAAGGTTCAGCCAGTGGAACTTCACTGAAGCTGAGGAGCCGCTAGCATCACAAACATTCAGAGTTAGCATTAGCGATACTTGAAAGAAATGGCAGTCATACAGCGGTGCAGGAATAAGTCTTCAAACACGGAAATAAAGCGAATCTTAGCACTTTGTCTCAAAGTGAACGTTTTTTTTAATGTGTTAAGAAGTCTGAAATAAAGTCTGTGATTAACACCAGTTTAAGAGATGTTCACGTTTTGTTCTACGACATAAGATATGCCATTAAATACCACAATGTTTGCTAACAAGTGGCGACTTAACGTCATAAAGTCGAACGTTAGCCGCCTTTAGCTTAGCGATGCTTTTTTTACTTTTCGTGACTGCATTTACGCTTCAGAAGTGGTGGTAAAGTGGGGTTAATATGTAGAGATTATTATGCTAAAAAAACATGTAATTATCATAAAAGTGTGTTTGCCACAGAGCTTATTTTCTGCAATAATCCAAAATCCAATGGAAAATTACCGTTAGCTATTTGTCAAGGGAGCCCTTGTGATGCTAACTTCCATTTCTGCCTACAAAAATACGTCATCCCTGCACCACTCTATGGTTGGTTCATGTTAAAGCTACATTTGAAAGCCTTGAGGCACCATGTGACTTGGTCTATCACATGACACTTTCCAATTGGTGTCGTCACATTGATCCATGGCTTTGCGTCACATCTCTGAACTGCTGGAAGCTTGTCGGGGAAATTGTTGGCACTTGTGAATGACAGTCATCGGCTCACCATCATGTCCTCTGGTGTCCCCTGGCGGAGGCCAAAACTTCTATTTACCTGGAACACACGCAAGTAAGTCAGACTGTCCATTGTGTCTGACAGGCGGACAATTTAAATCCAAAAAGAGGGATAAGGCGTCCTGTTTGCTGCGAGGCCTGCAGTGTGGCTCCTCAGGAAGGTGCATGGTGGTCCAGGTTCTCAGCAGAAGAAGATGTCTCCATCATTCTGAGGGTCCGACATGACTGTAGCGTTGCTTTCTAAAGAGAAATAAAGACACAGGTTATGATCTGGCCGAGAACATTTATAGCACAAACTCCTGTAAAAAACTGACCTGTTTCCATGTTTATGCTAAGCTAGGCTAACATAGCGTCATATACAGTGCAGACTAAATTGTAAATACAATGGTGTCAACCTGATCCTCATCAGTGATGATAAAGTAAAGGAAACCCTAATGAAGGCGTGAAGTGAAAATAGATAAGAAGAAAATGGAACCAATTTCCAATGGAAGCTGTCCAACAGATTATATAGATTATATATATTATGTTCTTTCTCAAATAATAATTTATATTATTGAGTACTTCAGAAATTCTCTCGTTAATTATTCAATAAACAAACATTTATTTCCCATGCCCAAGTTACCAACCAGACTTGTTTATTTGAAGTGAAGCAAGATTTAATCTTTGGTTGAATACTTGATTCTGATTGCTGGTCAATTCATACATTCAGAGGTCTGCTTTTTTACGATAGCAGACCGCTGCTAAGGAAAGCAGATCATTAAGGCTAAGGCAATGTGATCAAGGGACTATGTGCAGTCATATCAATCCGCAGGAAGAAGTCCGGTCAATTTAATGCCGGCTCTGGCTTTAGTAAACACTAAAGGGAATAGCAGAAGAAGACAGACAGGAAGTAAACCCTAAAGGGAACAGCAGAAGAAGACAGACAGGAAGTAAACCCTAAAGGGAACAGCAGAAGAAGACAGACAGGAAGTAAACCCTAAAGGGAACAGCAGAAGTAAACACTCATGGGAACACAGTATGGGTACCGAAGTTCTAGCTGTTGCTTCGCAATAGAAAATAAAAAAAATGTTCTTACAGAAAGCAAAACAATAATATTTTAATCAATAAAATCATGTTGAAATCAATGGTGTGTCATATTATTGATTTATGAAGTAAGCACTGCAGTCGTGTTATAAGCGGGAAATCATCGTACCCGTGGGAGTCAGCTCTCCTTTGCCTTTCTTCTTCCTCTTGTCTTTCTTCTCTTTAGGTTTGGTCAGCTGCAGCAGCCGGGGCAGCTGGGACTCCTTCTCTGCTCCCTGAGGCTTAGAGGAGGAGGACGAGGAGAAGGGGTTGAAGTGTTTGCCCATCCTCTTGGATCCGATGCGGAGGAAAGGTTCTTTGGCGGGGGCCGAAGATGAGAGCTCAACCTGAAGAACATCAAGAAAAAAATATTTTATTTCAGTTTTCCTAGCACTCATATTAGCAACCTACTAAACTGCATCACTGGTTTATCTTCTTCTATAAAACCGTTTTAATGACGGCTTTATTTTTACCCCTTTAAGCTGTTCTGCTGCTTCTTTTGAATCTAGATCCAGAGACCAGGTGCTGTGGGACCTCATGGAGTCTTCAGAGGTGGTGGAGGGGGTCCGCTGGTACTTCTGAAGCTGCTCCGACTGTAATGGTGCATCAAGACATAAAGTCATTTACAAGACCTCTGGTCAATCTTTAACCCAGTTCTAGTAGTTGTTCTTCTACATTGATTCATGAAGCATCCTAGATCTATCTCCAGGACATCAGGATTACATGATGTGTGCCACAGTGACATAGAGAAACCTCCAACCTGCACAGCGTGGTGTACAGGTGGTGTACGGGTGCATTTGTCCAAACTGCGCATATGGACACACTCAAGGTTTTAATAGCACATGTAAGAACAATAGAACGCATATTGACAGGTCGGAACACGAGCAGTCAGGAGACCTAACTCAGATGAATGCCACTGATAATCCATCATAGCGCAGAAACTAAAGTAAGATCAGTTGGTGATCATTAATCTGTTGGTCTATATGGCGAGTTTGTTTGTGTCTGTCTGATAGGCTTATGATGTCACCACTACGTCACCATGTAATCATGTCCATCCCATAGGGTCTACACTTACAATTGTTCAGTTATACAGTCATGTTTTTCTGATATCAGACACATGCTCTCCTGCTTCACACTGTACTCTGACCTCTTCTCTCTGCAGGTCCTCCAGTCGCTCCGTGTCTCTCCTCAGAGCGTCCTTGTCTCTCTCCAGCCTCCTCTGCGCCTCCCTCAGCCTCTCCAGCTCTCCCTGGTACTCCTCTTTCTTCCTCTGCAGCGTCTCCGCCTCCTCGGCCAGCTCCTGGTGCCTCTTCCTGCTTTGCTCCTCCTCCGCCTGCAGCCTCTCCTCTCGCTCTGCCAGACATCTCTCCTTCATGTCCCAGGCCTTCTCTCTCTTCCTCTTCTCTTCCTGGTGTGCAGCCTGCTGCTTCTGTGGAGATATTGTTACACTGGTTATACTGGTGAGTGTAGAATCAACAAATGTGAGGTACAAAGAATCTTATAGATAAATGTGATACGATGGTTGCAGTTTTTTGCTACGGAAGGATCCTTACTGAGTAAAATGATACGGAAGTACTTAAATTGCAGCCAGGATATGAGCTGTATGAATTCTCCAGGTGATCAGGAAGATGCTTCAATGCTCCCTTTATTATCTCCCTATCATTGGATACAGTACTAGACCATCGTTTATGAGAGGAAAGGACATAATGCTGTGTAAAAATTTAAATTCCTCGTATTGCAACATTCAAGGTGAAGCACCAACTGGACGTTCAAGGAAACAATCCGATATTGATCGACAAATGCAGATCAAGTAAGTTACGGTGCTTATCGAGCATCGAACAACTGGCATTAATGATAACTTGCTAAAGTGCTTATGCTGCTGGATATCTTAACCTATAATAATATATCAATGTTTATTTAACAATTGAGTTATATTTTGTATTAACTAATAATCTGACCATGAAAGATAACTAAAGCTGTCAGAAAAATGTAGTGGAGCAAAAATGACAATATTGGCTTCCTAAATGTAGTGGAGTACAAGTATAATGAAAAAAAAGTTTGTAATTAAGTACTTCAGTAAATGTACTTCATTACATTCCACCATTGACGGCATAGTAAATGTCGCCAACGTGTAAGCAATGTATTTGTTGCAAAAACTATTATTTATAAAAATAGTTTTATACATACAGTACATTATATGCATCATACAAATTATAATATATAATAATAGTAATTATTTTTTTTTAAATTGTATTTAAACCTTGGTAATTAAGTCATTTTTTCACTTTTCTCCACGTTTTTAAAGCCTGCACGAAACAACATGATAAGAATGGATGAAGTGTCTGGATATGCCTCTAGTAGTCGGACATTTTTAGTTTTCCTACGGCAGACGCGTATCAATTACATCCTCCGTGACATATTAATTACGTCGCCTATTGTAATTGCCGTTGTTTTTTCTAAAGTCCAGATGAATTCTTTCCAAAAAAATAAAGTCTTATGAACATGGTAGTGAAAGGTTACCTGCAGGGTGGCCGCCTCCTGGCGCTGCCTCTCCAGGCTCCTGTGTTTCTCCTGCTCGATGAGGGAGGAGGGCCGGGAGGAGGAAGAGGAGGAGAGGGAGGAAGACGACGAGTGTCTGGAAGAGTTGGCCACCAGCCGCTCGTTCAGGGTCTGCCGCTGGTCCTCGATGAAGGAGTCCTGCTGCACCACCACAGCCTAGAGGGAGGACAGGAGGGTTTAGGATGGATAGGATGATGGGGTAGAGGGAATGACCTTTGAACTGAGGGGTGTCTCTGGTACCTGGAGTGAGATCAGCAGGTCGTGGAGATGCGTCACGCTGTGCTGCACCTGCTGGAGGGACACAGAGCTTTCAGTTATTCTGTACTATGTAAATGAAACATATCTTCACATGATATTATGATGTTATGTCACAGACTAATGTAATAGGGAAAGATATTTAAGTACGAATTCTCAAAACAATGTTGCCAGCAAATGTGTTCAAAAGATCAAGTTAAGTACAAGTACCTCAAGAATGGTACTTAAGCACAGTACTTCAGTAAATGTACTTAATGTAATGTTACTTTCCAACACTTGCTGGCACGCACCATAACCACGGTCAGGAGGCGGGGCTTCCGGTGTCATAGAGACAGGGAGGAGGGGCCAACTTTGAACGATGTGTTTAAAAACTGTGAACTACTAATCCTAGCTACTGTACCTTCAAATAATACCGTATCAGAGATATATTATTATAACATATTTACTTTACGAATTGCTTCATAACTTACAGTTAAAAAGTTGAAGCAGTAAATGACTGTTTCTATTAACCCTGCAGAGAGTGTTAGAAACAGGCAGCATTCTTACCTCATTGTTTCTCTTCAGCATCATCTGTAGGCTGGCAGTAGCTCCCTGAGACACACACACACACACACACACACACACACACACACACACACACACACACACACACACACACACACACAGAGAGATTACAGCAGATATAACAGCACACAGTCATACTGTAATATAATGCTAGCAGAGAGTGTGTCTAGACTGTGAGCAGCAGAGATATTGGAGCAGATATCTGCTTGGCTGCAGCGGAGTGGAAAATGACTGATGATGTGCTGACTGGAATAAAGGGTTCAGAATCAGAATACCTCCCACAGTGGAGACATTTACATTCCCATTCATTATAGAGGGTAATGTGTTGGTTTAAAGCTATAGTGGGGAGTCTTCTGTTAGATATGTTGACATTCCCTTTATACCACAACAGCTTGTAGAAATGAGCTAACTATAGAATAGAAGAATGGGAGGGATGAAACCCTCTTTAATGCTCGCACATGCAGAGCACACAGCACACACAGTGAAATGTGTTCTCTGCTTTTAACCCATCCTAGTACCAGGAGTCTAGTACTATGAGCAGTGGGCAGCTAGTGTACAGCACCCGGGGACTACATACCTACCTTTCATCCTTCCTTTACAGATGTAGCACTTCATTTCAGACTCCAGCTTACAGCTTCCTGCCTACGACCTGCCTAAGACCAGTATAGAGGAATGTTAAGCCCTCCCACTATTTTCCAAGAGGGCGTTGCCAGATTTTCAATTTCAGGTTTTAACCAGGAGATGGCGCTTCATTCACAAATACAGAAAGACAAGTTTCATGGACTTTCAGTCACAACTGAAAGTCCATGAAACTTGTCTTTCTGTATTTGTGAATGAAGCGCCATCTCCTGGTTAAAACCTGAAATTGAAAATCTGGCAACGCCCTCTTGGAAAANCCAGACCGTAGTCGAGGAGGGCAGAAGCAACAAGCTTCAGGTTCAATAACCAACTTTAGCTTAAATGACTGGAGAGAGGCGAGCTCTTCTTGGAAGGCCGTTGCATTTATTTAGCTGTTCTTCTGTTTCACAAAATACATCACAGACCTCTGTTTTTCTGCTGCCTCGTTTCACTTCCAGAACGTTACACGTTCCCTCACTGTCGCTCTACCATCCACAAACACACATGCACAAGCCACACCCCCCTCTCTCTCTCTATATAAAGGGACAGCGACCTCATCTCACTCTGCATGAACCTAATATCATAACATGTGTGCTGTGGAAAATCACAGAACGGACGATCGCCCTTATTATTATGCCGTTTAAACCAATTGTTTAAATGTGTTTGTTAAATTCAGCATCATGTAAGTTGCGCTGACATGTCCACACACTGCTTCCCCGCAGCGAGGCTGATAGTTGACGAGCGTCAAGCTCCTCAACCCCCCCCCTGTTGATAATTCTCGATCGTTGGCACGCTGATAAACATTTTTTTTTTTAAATGGCACTTCATATGAAAAAGGTTGCCGACCCCTGACATAGACACTCAAAAACGGAGCGAAGATAGACTAATATTATAGTTTGACTGAACTTCAGACTATACCAAATACATAAAACGAGTCTGTCCGAAGATATTTTGTAGTTTCTGACTGTGGAACAAACAGTACAAAACCCCCAAACGACTCTCTTTCTGAACTGTCTCTTTGACCAAATCACAGATACTATACTGATAGCCCTCTGACATAGAGGGAATCTCTATAATAGGGTTACAGTATATACTCAATGTATTGTCGCTTCCTCAGGCTCTAGTGAAAGACTATATTACCAACACTAAGTACAAAATGTCTCATAGTTTGTTAACAAGAGGCTTGCTTTGGATGTCACTCTCCTGCGGCTCATACCCTCTCAAAGACACACCTACAGGTGGATGAGTGTGTGAACATGGATGTACATATGAGGCTTTTTGTATCTTGAGAGACTAGGGAACCTGTAAAGAGTCTAAAGAGAGCAAAATAAATGAAGCCCCAGAGTCCTTTGCCATCTCTGTATAGTGTAGGTTCAGAAAGTGTAATAGAAGATGCCAGACTCCGTAAGATAAGGTCAAACAAACCCCTGTGTTGTGTTAGAGTAACTGTGTATATTGGGTATTATACTGATGTGATCATGCACATTAAAAGGGTTGAATCAAACACTTATTTTATATATGAAATGTACGGTACTTGAGAGAAAATAGAAAATATGTTTAGATTGTATTCGTAAATCCTATAGCCCAGTTTATTTTACAATGGTTCAAAAAGTAGTTTTTGGCAAACAGCTGTAACCATGCAACATGACCTCAGCTGGTCCTTGTAGTTTCAGGATGTGCATTCATGCAACATATCTAACATTTACACAACAGGAAGTTCATCATCTACCACATTTAATGAGAGTAGAAAGCACCATATCAATGGATATCAACCAAGCCTTAGACTCAATTATGTTACACACATCAAATAAAGTCAGAGAATAATCTGAACGCAGCTAAATTGTAACCTAAGTAACCGAGTAAACAGTTAGGAAAAAGCAGATTGGTTACATTCGGCAGCCCTTTGGTTGAATGCAGTATGGTTTGAAAACATTATCTTTAAATATGTATTTGGACATTTAGTTAGGGAGTTATTTGCATTTATGGAAGACTTTCTGTCTTTGGATGTTAGGCAAACAGCTATAATACTGAGTGACTACTCATACTTGTAATATTTTGTAAAACCAGTTGAACCAGAAGAATATGGTTTAAATTTGATTTTAAATTTCCCTTAGAAGCAAAAATTCCACAATTTGAATGTGAAGTAGTATATGATAATTGTATAATTGTTTTAGTAGAACCAATTCACATTTTAGTGAATTGTAAAATGTCTTTCGAGTTGGACTGTGGGTCATATAAAAGAAGAACTTTGACAGTCACCATGGTCTGTTGGAAGTGTTAATCATTGAGAAACAGTTGACGCACTCACCCCTCCTTGGGGAAACTCTGCTTGATCTCTACTTGGTGTTGACTCATCAGCTCTGCGGTTTTGGCGTTGAACACCTGTGGAGAAGTTAAAGTCATAAGAGACCATGCAAATAAAACAGAGGACACAGGGTGTGCCTGGGAAACATTCTCTTAATTATAAGGGAACACATCATTTGGTACAACACAGGACTGGAAGAGGTACAGAATGTTTTAATTTCCCAGTGATAAAACTGATGATGACTGACAGGACTTTGCAATGCTGCAATGCAGGCACTGCAACTATCATGAATGTCACTCCAATAAAAAGGTGGCTGCCTATTACAGAGGGGAAAGATTGAAATGTAAGTTATGACCTACATTTAGACAGCATTTATTCAAATAATAAAGTAGGATAATCCGTGTAAGCACAGCAGTACAATTCGGCTACAGACAATATTCATAGATTAGGCTGCATGAATTCAACACAGCAAAAGGGGAAACTGAGACGCATTCACCATGTAACCCTTTGACCAGCCACCAGCTTGTAACACGTTGCACTTGATGACCCTCTCACAGCTGCACAGTCCGGACAGACACACAACAAGCAGAGCCCTTTGACACTAACATTCTGTCGAGGTCACGCAGTTGGACTGCAAACAGGAACATTCTCCCCCCTTCTTAAAAATGGACAGTGGAAAGGTTATAGTGGGACTGACATCTACGGTCATGGGTCTGTGACTGTTGATCCAATAATAAAGTGTTGCCTCAAGCATACGCTTAGGCTCAAAGCAATCAAGATCATCGTTATGAAACTACGTTAGGAAGGTGAACAAATATATGAACTTTGTGGATGTTGGAGGTAAGGCTCAGTTATGTTGTGAGGATTTATTTAAACATTGCCAAGGGCTTAATTATTATCTAATTTGACCGGAGACATGTTCCCTTATCGTCGCTTGTGTCCTGAGATCAACCTTACAGACAACCTGATTTAACCTTCACTTCTGGTCTAAAGGACCTGTTTCATTGAACAGCATTAAGTATAAATTCTTTAAAAATCAGACAATGTGATTTTCTGGAATTTTTTTTCTCATTTTGTCTCTCATAGTTGAGGTATACCTAGGATGACAATTACAGGCCTCTCATCTTTTTAAGTGGGAGAACTTGCACAATTGGTGGCTGACTAAATACTTTTTTGCCCCACGTATCTCTACATGTTCGCCAAAAATTCATCAGCTTTTGATCTATTGTTTTGAATTTAGGTCCGACACCAGCCAAACAAAAGTCCCCAGAGTGGTCTCAGTTGGCTCCAAGAAAAAAGCTATCATTTTCACAGAAATGTTTACCAGATATACTCAGCCATTAAAAAGCCTTTCCGTCCATCCTTTGGATCTAACAGTAAGTTGAACTTGTTAACTGCCCATATTTTGTGCCAAGTCTCCATCTTCCAGCTGACCTACTCGAGGATGCCCAATTATGTTCACAATGGTTAACCAAACAGGACTCATATTACTCAACTGAAAAGCAAAAGACTACTTTGAAAGTAGTGTCTGCAGTATTCAGTATTCAAGTGGAATCAGGAAAAAGAAGGGGACATTAAGCAGGTCAGTCTCTTTGATAAATGTATTAAACTAAATGGTGGGATTTCAAGAAACAGGATAAGTGATAGATTGCGTTCGAGGAGGTGATGAACCTTGGCTCACTTTTCAAAACAGAATTTCAATGACCAAAACTCTTAATGCAAACACCCAAACTGACTGACTATATTATTGTCTTAATACACAATGCTGTCTTTACCATAAGACACTACTGAGGGGACCATCAATTCAACATAGTAGCAAATCACTTCACCTCTCCTGCAATGCATTTCTTTCATTTGGCACTTCATGTTTAAATCATACAAAAACCACTTTGTCTTCTATTCAGTGGTGGAGTGTAATAAAGTACACTGCATGTATTACTCCAGTACTGTACTGGAGTAATACATGCTGTCTAAATGTAGGTCAAAACTTAGTATAGTGGACCTATCATGCTATATTTGAATACTTTTTGCACACATATTAACAATCAGATCTCCTGTCACATATTGAGGCCAATTTTCTAAAGAATAAGTACTTTTTAAACTTTGAGCACATTTTCTGGTCACCCGTATTTGTATTTATGTAAAACAGCACTACATTTACACTACATACCAAGCAAAAAAGGCTAACTTAATCTCTGTTGCACTATTTTTGTCATTGCTGTTTTTATAATATTTGATTTACTTTTGTACACTTTTTTGCTGCATCAATTGATGGCCCTTATTGTTATTTGATATTTGCGCATAAATACATATAACTTGGTTATGTCCTTATAAAACCCATACATGATGTATTCCCAGGTCTAATAGAGTTATGAACCCAGCGCACGTGCTTTATGAGATGTTGAGCCCTAAATCAGGAGGATAGTCCTCTGTGACAACAGGTTAGCACCATAGACAGTAGAAGTTTGCGCATAGAAACTGAGGATAACGTCAGAGCTAATAACACTAGCGTCTCTCGTCCAGTAGGGGCGCAAGTGGGCTTATATGTTTATATTTCACTCTCAGCATGTTTTTGTTTTATTTTAGGAGAAAACATGCAAAATACTGCAAAAGCTAACGGTAGCTAACACCACACACATAAACTGTATATATAGAACAAATAGATATTGAAGGGGATAACCTTTGCCGCGTGAAGCCAGAAACATAGCTGTTACAGGAGTTATAATTCCCACTTGCAAAAGTTCGTTCAGTCGAAGTGGTTGTTGTTTTTTGATCAGCTATGTCGCCAAATAAGATAGCAAATGTCGACTCATTAAGTAATCAGGGGAGTTGCATCAATACAGTGAACTTTGGGTAAGCATCAAAGTAAATCATCACTCACCAGAAACCGTGTGGAGCTCGTGCCCTGGTCTATCGCAGCCACCAGCGGGTCCATACTGAATATTTTTTCTTGTGGCTCTTCAAACACTCAGAAAAAGTCGTTGAACACTGCCAGCTGTTGGGGTTCAGGCTCTCTGGGATCCACGGCGTGAGTAATGTTGTCCTCCTCAACAGCGGCCGCGACTCCTCGTGAGGGAGGAGGTCGGCAGGGCAGCGAGGGGGAAGAGTGTGTTTGAGGATAAGAAGACCTTCATGCAGGAGGAGGAGGAGGTGAAGTCACCAGAAAACGTCCGCGGACAACGCGATTGGCTGCTAGCCAGTGGGCCTCGCTCCGGCCAATCAGGTTTGGGGGCACGTCTCGCTGTATTTATAAGGCTACAGTCTATGCTCCCAGTAAATGAGAATAATCGATAGGCTGTGACGATTTATTATATAAAGTCGATATTTAAGCAGACAGCTCTCTCTCTCAGGGATTCTCTCCCCTTAGAACTGGCAATTAATCAAACCTGAAGACTTGAATGTATGAAATCATCTGTTAAAAAGTCGTTGAGCTTTCTATTTGAAATATTTATTCTAGGTAGTTAAAAGGTTGAAACATTATAGTTCAGAGGCTATAAGTAATACACCTGACTAATACCTAACCAGATCACAGTCGTGAACCGTCAGGGCCTTCAAGGTATTCAGAGAATACCCTGGAACACTCAGATAAGGAAAAACAAAAAATCGATTTAATTATATAAATAAAATGTAAATAAAATGAATAAATGAGAATCGTATCTGTGTTGTTGATCTGTATTATTACAGTGTTACGTTGATTTGTTTGTCTTTCTCCGGCTAAGCACTACGCATTTGAGTGGTTTTGTGTAATAAAAAAAAATGCAACCAATCAGATATATTTCTGGGTGTCTGGGTAGAATATCCTTCAACCAACGTATTCTATATTCTTGATAGAATTCCCTGGCCGTTACACTGAATGAGAGCGGACGTTTGGATTGACAGTTTGATCAACCAATCATATATTGATTTGCAGTGGCGTTTTTATATGTACAAAAGTGGTGGGGCACAAAAGACTTAGATGTCTATAAGCTTCTGCAGTGAAGTTCATGGCTAGTGAGGCACTGGCACTGACTCTTCAGGTTTACAAATATTATATTTTGACCTAAATCAAAATATAATATTATTTTCAAAAGCTTTTTTTGTCTGATGCTTCGATTAATTTTAAACAAACAGTTCAACAAAAGGATGATGCTATCCTGTAAGTTAATAAATTTACTGACGTTTTTACAGTTAAGTATGGTTCTTTAAAAAAAAAAAGAGGAACATTAATTAACAACCTTTGTGATTAAAATGAGCATTGCTTTTTATTTAAATAAACATACATAATATTTCACATCAAAAGAAACAATGTTTTAACCTGTTAAGCAACGCCAGGTCCCCGCTTTACTTATTTTTTTCATGACCTGCGTCTGATTGCTCAGGGCAATCTTAATACTTAGAACCTAATTAAGTGCTTATACAGATTTAACGGAAATAACTCTCAGCTAACTACGATACAAAACCATTTTTTACCCAAAAACACAAGTCTCCATACAAGAAGCAATCTTAAATGAACCCTTATTGACCTTTTAACGGATTTGGCACAGAACTCAAGATAAAAGTACCCTTATTACTTATATGTAGTCATTACAAGATTCACTCTAGTGATTTATCACAGTTATATAGAGTATACATACAAATATCCTAGGAGGGAGTGATCGATCGCGACAGGGAAGCAAACACAGACATTCAACAACAGTACCTTTGGCGGAGCTTTTAGGGAGAATCGTCTCACCGTAGCTGTCAATCTGATTCAAAAGACAGGTGTTCAAATGGCATTAAAACGAGAAAAACGCGGCTGGAATCGGTTAATCCATAGGTTGATACATTGGTCTTGTAATATTTTTTTTCATTTATAATCCATAATTCCATTTGTATGTAAAAATCGGGAGGGCAAAAGTTAGCTGCTAACGGTAGCCACCAGAGTTATCGCAGCTTCCGGTCTTGGCTATGCGGCAAGTGTAACACACACAGTTTGGGACAGATTGCTCGTGTTACTGCCTTAACATGCGAAAGTTTGTTGCACTTTTTGGCAACCGGCATTGCCCAATCGAGCGGGTAAATATAACCAAACCTTGGAGCGCTTAGTTCTCTCCGCATCTCCGCCGTGTTGTGTTGCTGAAATGTAGCAGCCGCGTGTGTGGTAACTTTCCCCGCCCATCGCACACACAGACAGGAGATCAAAAAGATGCCAATGTTTGTCGTCTTCCTGCGTGTATGAAACTGAGTTGGCGAAACTAAACAGCAATATAATATTTAGCAGCAATAATATACATATTTCTTTTACATGTCGTTCCAGTAACGATAAAAATACGATAAACGTCGGAGCTTAGCGGTACCACGGTTCTTTAAAAATTCAGCCCCGGGGCCCGGGTACCCATCCCTATTAAGAAGGCAAGTCATTCCCACACATTGGCTTTTGACAAGGCACACATGTTAATTGAAAACCATTCCAGGTGTCGACCTCATGAAGCTGACCTGAGAGAAGTCAAGAGGGTCAAAGCCTGTCATCAAGGCAAATAGAGAGCTACTTTGAAGAATCTAAAATAAAAAATCATATCTTGATTTTTAACACTTTTTTTGTAACTAATAATTTCGCATATGTGTTCCTTCATAGTTTGATGTCTTCAGTTAATCTACAAAGTAGAAACATATTAATTAAACCAAAACATTAATGAGAAGGTGTTCAACTTGACTGGTACTGATTAAACACACACATTTTAATATTTGGCAGGTTCCCTCATCTATAATCATTTTATACAAGCCGCAACTTGAACTGTACAACTGTAAAATGCAAACATACAAATAATCATGAACATCATACATTAAACACCGACAGGGAACATTTTACTGCACTCATACTTTTACATTTAAGGTGCCCGTCAATTTTCTGTTAATACTTGCATAGTTTACTTATAATAAGGTTTGAATGCAGGATTTTAATTTGTAACAGAGTATGTAATTCTCTACTGTAGGCATAACGTATCTGTGACGATTCCCCAAAACAATTCATTGTTACATTGCCGCTAGTTGCTACGCCAGAGAAAAAAACCTTTTCATTTTTAAACTGGAAGTGGAAGGGGTTGGGCTACATTAAGGTTGAATTTGAGCCAACACAAATACACAATAGGTGGGGCTAAGAAAGATAATTGTGAAAAATATAAAAACAAAGGCATTAATTAATTAAAATGTCTCCCATTGTAATGGTGATAAGATTTTTAAATGCTAACACTTAACAGTTTGTTCTGACTGTGTGTTTCCTGTTTCCTGCCAGATGTCCAGCTGCTGGTGGTGTGTTAAAGAAGAGTCTCCCTGACCAGCAGGAGTGGAGCACAGTCTGGACCACGGAGGGACCCAGTGCCCCCCCCACCACATTAAAAGCCAGGAACAGAGGAACTCAGGATCAGTCAGTGAGGGAGAGAGCTTCAGGAGCTGGAGAGGGCTGAGATCACAGAGTCCACTTTCACTCCTGACCCTGTGAAGAGTGAAGGATGATAAGAGAAACCTCAGTCCTCACAGCCTCATCGAAGACAAACTTGAACACATGAAAAAGAATCTGATGGAGATGACTGTCGAGGACCAGAACCAGCCAGGAGCTCAGATCCAGAGAGCAGTTTACAACCAAAGACTGAGGACGCACTGGAGACTCTTCTGGAATCTGACACGGAACGCTTCTGACCTGACACTGAGACAGTGCTGCATGGAAGGAGACCAGGAAACTGCATCAGGCTCAAACTCACTGAAATCAGACAGGACATGCTCCTATCTGATCCAGTCGTCTCTATCTATTCACATGTCGTAGTGCATGATTATGTTATCGACCATTCAGCTGTGTCAAGTCTGGTAAGGAAAGTCTTTTTCAACTGAGTGGAATGTTAAAGTGCACTATACACGAGATCAGTCCCAACACTGCTAGAGAATCACACATGACACAGTCGCTACTGCAGTCTGTTTACAGAAAACTTTTTCACAGAGTGACCATTCTTAAAGAGACACACACGAGAATCCACACTAGGATGAGAACCATTTCAGCCTGGCTCAGCTGTAAGAAAGCTTTGTTCACGGAGTGCCTCCCACATTTAAAGATCACACACGTAGTACTGCGCGACGAAGGGCAGAGAAAACCATTCAGCTGCTCCAGTCTGTCTGTCAAGAAACTACTTTTACAACGGAAGTAATAGACTTCATTATAAACGACACAACCAGAAGTGAATCTGCAACAGACAGCGACTGACGATCAATGTAGCGATGTTAAACCACATTCAAGTCTGCTTCTCAGTCTGTAATGATACAGCTGGTTTTCACAGAGTGACATTTAAAGAACTATGTCACTTATTGAAGTAGTCCCACCCTAGAAGAACAGCACACAGTCTGCCTCAGTTGCTCATTTGTAACGCATAGCGCACCTTTCTCTCACGGAGGGTATAGTGAAAGTGATTCACCTCGACATGAGAGTGCCACAATGTAGAGAGAGGGAATGAAATATATCAGCTACAATGTTTGTCGACAAAAGATGTGTGAATCAGCGTAAGATCGTTTCAAACAAGATCGCATAAAGTGTGATTTTCAGATCGTCAGCCTGCTCTGTACTGTAAAAGAGCGTAATACATTATGTCTACCTTTTTTGTGTTCGCTTATTCACTGTAAATGTAATGATGGTGCTAAATGCCAGTTACATTTCATGATACGTTCGTTGTTTATATGTCACTAAAGCGCTGATGTTCACTCTCACCTGCATCCGATTCGTATAATATATCACAAATCTTCAATTTTCCTATATTTGACCCACTTGACTCGACTATTTATCTTGTATTGATAATGGTTACATCTCTCAGGACAAGTATGTGCCAAATATTAATGTATGCTGTGCTGTTCCTTTTCATCTGCTGATCACTACCTACTGTTCATTTAAGTCGTGGACCTCACGTTTTTACAAGGGACCAGCTACGCTCTTATGGTGTCTGTAATATGCAATATGTTTTCTATGTCTTAAGAGTGATGCGAGACCAAAAAATCACGTGCTGTTGTGAGTAGTATGGATTGGCTCCTCTGCAGGACGTTGTATCGTACTAAAAAATATGTGTTTAGAAATGAGAGAGCTTCATTCCCGTTTTTGTTGTCTAAACAACGCCACAGTGCCGATACGTTCTTCTTTCCAGCAGTGGCATACATGGTTACATCATCCCATTTCAACTGTCATCCACATATTAAATGATTCAAAACAGCAATGTGAAAGATATGGCTAGTAATTGGACCATTTCAACAGATGTGAGAGGTTACCCCGAGTCTTGAGGCCATGTCCAATATGTTTATGTTTTGTTTGGATTAAAATCTACTGAAAATGAGCATTCAATGTCCCTAAATTATTTCTTAATTACTGTCATTACATCATGGGTTTGCATTGCAATACTAGAATGCATAAAACCCAACTTTATTTCTTTCCAGTTGCGGGTGTTCATTGGTTAGAAGTCTGCAGTGGTTTCAATCCAAGGGCTTCCACTTTGGCTCCGATAATGCTGAAAGTATCTGTTTGCTTTGCCTGCTCCAGTAACAAAAGTGTAATTCACTGGACAGAGACAAGAGATAGTGGATGGATCCCGAAAAGAACCAGAAGATAGTCCGTATAGAGCCTTCAGGTTCTGATAATGATCAGGGACAGAGCTAGAAAAAAACTCAAAAAACCTGAATAGAGCTAGAAGATAGCCAGTACAAAGCCAAGAAAGACCGAGTATAAAGACAGGAAGGAGCCAAAAGAGTTTGTGTTTTTTAATATTCAAACTCTTCTCTTAAGATATTAGAACTTCCTATCTCAACATCTATCCTTTTATGTCAATTAAAAAAAACTTACATTTTTGCTGCCAATTATTGAGATTGTTTCACAGCTTTATCTTAAATATATAGACTTTTATCTTTACATATGGATTAGGATGAACAGCACGGTCCACTCTGCTGGATTCTGCCCAAATCTGCTCAAAATGCATGCAAACATCTCGCTTTATCCATACTCCTGCAGTTGTATTGTTCTGGATTCATAGTGAAGTGTATTAGATGTAATGCACTCTTATTGTTATGTATTTAATATAAAGTGAAATACCCATAAAGTCAGAAAAGAAAAGAGACTCACTTAAGGAAAAAGGTTCTGAACCAGTGAGAGTTCTTCATTTGCACATAAACATGGTAACATATTTAAAGTTGTGACCAGATGGTGTCGCCCTAATCTGTGTACCTACGGTCCATTTGTTTTTCTTTATTACACCAGTAAGCGGAAGAGCGTCTTTTTGTTTTTGTACCTTACTAAATGGTCTAATGGTCATTGGAGCGGAGGGCGGGTCGAAACTCGCCGAAGTAATTTAAAAACAAAAGCCCTCCTTTGCTTGGAACGGTGATATTATAAACAAGGGGAAACAAGGTGGATTTAGCGATCACAACGAAAACGGCCAAGACATATATTGAGCCCAGAAAATGAATGTTATTAAGGGCTGTAAATATTGTAACTTTCGACACAGGGAGACGGAAACAGGCTTCAAGTTATTGGGGGTTTAATAACTCCTTTGTTCACACCGGTTACAGGTTCATCTTCACACACACTCTACACCCCAACTCACACCCCTATATATAGCAGGGTCAACGTCACAACTCCCCGCCCTCCCCCCTCTGCTCCCCCAACCACAGGGCCGCACCTCGACCAGCATCACTGTGCAGCTCTGTGATTGGCAGAGAGACGGGGGATGCTGGAGTGACACACTCAGCACCCTATACAGGGTCGCTACCCTATAATAGGCCTATGTCTAAAATGGACAACATTGTTAGGAAATTTAAACTATACAGCGATTCTGCACTGCGGTCAACTCAGCCGTCTCTCGAGTTTGTTTTTTCAAATCAGCTGCTCTTCATTTTTTCCCCTGCTATATTCAATGAGTGATACACATATTTTTTACCACAAGTTCTTAATAAAACTGACACTGTTGGACTCTGTACTAGTTTGACTGCTACCATAACTTAAATGAAGTAATTTTACTGTGTACTTTGTGAGTAATCCTCTGTCAGAGTCCCCTCCATAGTACATAATACATGTTTTCTGCTGTCTTTGATGAGTGATAAAAAATACAATTTTACCATTAGTTCTTGATACTGTTTGACTTTGTATTAGCCTACTACTAACAATACATTGAAGTACTTTTACTGTGTATTTATTGAGCAATCCTCTGTCAAAGTCCCCTGCTGAGAACAAAATCAAGCCACTGCTGCTAAGTTTGATGAGGGAATTATTTTTTGTTGCCATTAGTTCTTCATGAGATTGATCCTGTTGGACTCAGTACTAGTGAAACTACCCCCACAAGTACTATGAATGACTTACTGTGTACTTTTCCAGTAATCGTCTGTCAATGTCCCCTGAGTACAAGAATGCATGTTTTTCTTTTAATAAGCGTTAAAAGACCTTCCTTCCTGAGACTGATATTGTTGGACAGAGTATTTTAAGAGGATATTAGACATGATATCAGCAATACTTCCAGTCAGTACTCCAGCAGCAGCATTTACCCCAAGGAATGTCTTTAGAGTCTGGCCTGGATAGCTGGTCCTTCAGCAAAGTGACACACTCTGTCACATGGTTGCCCTCTTATGATGCTGCTGTCTTTTAATATATAATTATTCCTCTGCTGCTAGTTCGTTCGTTAGTCAAAATGACCCCCAAGGATCAAAGGTGTAAAGTAAACTTGAGGATAACAGGAAGACAAAAGTGAAGTCTTTGTTCTTTAATGTGAAAGTGAAGCGTCTCTGGCTGTCCGTCACTTTGGATTTGAGTTATTGTGGTACTTATACTTTACTCGAGTATTTCCATTATATGCTACTTTAGCATAACGTTAGCATAAAGCTAGCATTAGCATAGAGCTAACTAGCAGCTAGACCATGAGTGGTAAGAACCAGAGAAGACAACGTAAAACGAATATTATTGAAAATGATAATAACCGTTCCAACATCAGTAGCTATCTATCTTTACCTTAGTCACTCGCGCTGACTGAACTCATTGGCATTTTTGGAACGTTTTGGCTAACACAGCTGAAACTCATCTCCACCTGATTTCCCGCTTATGGTCATGGCTGCATGGAAATTACACATGACTTTGCGCAATGTAATACTAGTGAGAATCATACCACTAAGGCCACCACACCAGCCTTGACACTTTTGAGTCACACCCTACTGTACGTGACGTTTACACATACTTTTAATACAAAAATTATCAGCATAAATTATTGAATATACATGGTCCTTACCTTTTTAAAATAATGTAGACACAGGTTGTTCTCCGACCATGAGATAAAGAAAAAAGGAGCACTAAAACTAGAGTGCATGCAATCAACTCCCTAAAAGAACCACGGCCTTAGAGCTTTTTCAGCACTGCAAGATTTTAAAGAACACCCTAATCAACACTTATCAACTCGAAATAATTAACACTATTTCACACTACAGAATTGGCTGTGCATGTACAGTTTTAGTTGTTAGTCTTTCAAAACACAATTTGTCAGTTAATGTTGGAAAAATACTTTGCACATTAGCACTAGTGTATGTTATTCCACGTTGTCCATTTGTTGTAACAGGATTTTGGAATGATGACCTCTAAAGTGTTTCCCCAGGCTAAAGAGGCCTAATGAGCAATGTTGTGGGTTGTTTAATGTTGCTACTGATTAGATGTTATATTTAAAACACATAAAAATCACATTTTTGAAAATAAACGCATGTTTTCAAGAATCTGATGTGTACTTTATTTCCTGAAGTGTTAATGATTCACCCCAAAATTGTTTGTTTGGTGTACATCAGCTAAACAGCACTGAAACAGTGTGAAAAATGACCATGGAGTACGTTTTCTCTCAAAGTGTTGAATAATCAGCTCTGCACAGTGACACTAAAAGACTGACTAACAGTACATTTTTAACTCTCGGAGGGTTCTAGGTTTACAGTGCACGTGTTGGAAAACATTCAAACAGTGTAAAAAAAAGTACCAGTTCTAGAGTACATTTTGACTCCCAAAGTGTTCAAATCTAACTCTTTATTTGGAGTATATATTTTACTCTGGTAATTACCGGACTATGACCGGATATGCTGATGTTTAAAACTCAGTTAATGGGACTCTTTTCTATATTGCTTCAGTTTATAATCGTTTCAGATCGAAAAGTTCAGATTCATTTTTCAATAAATGATACGCTTCCACAAACAACAAACAACATAATTATTACATTCAAACAAACTACTTATAGTAGATGAAGTACATTATTCAAAAGTTTACATTAACTTTGGATAATAACACGGAAGAAACGGATCCTCTCTTTTTCCTCTATCCCTCTCTCTCTCTCCTGGCAGCCCGTCAGTTTCTCATGCAGCTCGCTAAACAGTGGGCGGGGCTTCAGGTGATTATGCAGAGCTGCTTGTCTCCGTCAGACTCAGCAGCTGATCTCTGATCGCTCTCTCGCCTCCAGTTATAGCCTACTTCACTCGCGTTTATGTCCATATCGATCAGATCCAGCTCTCCTGATCGGCCTTTATAGAGAGCACCGATCAAACTATTAAGAGTGAATATCGGCCGATAATGATTACATTAATAATTTAAATGTTTTTACTATGTTCAATCTGAATTTATTTTAAAAGAAAAACATCTATATTGATACTGACTTTTTTATATCCAACTCACAGGTTTATCATTGTTTGAGAAAAAAGTTGATTAATTTACCCCTTTTTAGAGGTAGGCTATAGTCATTTGTTCTGGGAATGTCATTTTCGAGCCTGAGACCTGAAAAACAGGCTTGGGGCTTAACGGGTTAAGTCTATGATAATGTGAGTTATGGGCCTGTAGGATTATGTATTCACTGATTTATTTAGGATCAATTTTTTGGAGGCCAAAGCCAGGCGTGTACTAGGGCTGCTCGATTATGGCAAAAAGCATAATCTCGATTATTTGGGTGAATAATTGTAATTGCGATTTATTAAATGTAATTATTCATTGACTTTGAAAACATCTATTTATAATCAAATACAAATAATAATTTGAACTTTTCAACTGTTGAATTATACGTTCAGGGTAATCAACTGAAAAACCAATATAAAATAAATTATACATTTAAATAAATAAAATTCCTTAACATATAGCCAACATTTTGGTAAAACATATTCCACTCAGTTAAACATTAAAGGCTGGCCCACCGTCATGGTCCAGAAGCAGTGGCGGCTGGTGGAAAATATTTTTGGTGGGGCTGTTGACATAGTGAGTAAAAAAATTTTTTTCGGTAACGGAGTAGTGTAACGCGCTACTTTTATAATTCAGAAACTAACATTGCCCCGACACGCGTTACTTCCTTACTTACTAAAATCAGGCATAATCAAACCTCAACACACCTGCAAAGAACACATGCTAAGGTGAAGCTAACACACACAGACATAAACAAATAGAAAACAACCGGAAAACAGAGAAGAAGAACAGACTACGTGAATCACGTAGTCTGTTCTTCTTCTCTGTTTTCGGGTTATTTACAAACAAGCTTATTTACATATAGCAATAACTCAGAAATGAAAAAGCTACATTGTCTAACACGAACAACCAGTTAGCATAATGATAATATATTTGTACAATGTAATTGGCAAGGCTAGAGCAAGAAAGGTTTAAATAACTTCAAGTATCTGTCTTCAGATTACATGGAGGTTTTAGTCCGATGGGAAGCAGATTTTAAGCGACACCGAAGATAAACCAAAAATGTGGTGGAGCTGCAAACCGTGTAGTGTTGCTGGGACAGGACAGGAGGAGCTATAACCGTTGGAAAATACATCACAGACAATGCAACAAAGGTGGAGACAGAACAATCACTTCTGTGATAAATGCCCACTTATTAATAAACTTCTAACACAACCATGGGAAACCTCCTCTCTACATATAAAGTGATATCCAGCTTATTGGCCTATAGCACCTTTTTTACTGCTTTGAATAACAAATGTGCAACAGGCAGAAAAAAGACAAAAACAAAAGGAAACAAGAAACGACTTCCTCTGGGGAAAATGAGTCGAACGCAACAGGTTTCCAAACAGTCCTAATGTTCCTGGACTTTGTGGTTGAACAAAACATCTTAGGTATCCAAAAGTAACTTCACAACATTCTGCGGCCGTTTAATTGTCTCTCTAATGAAACGCATTGGTTTAAGGGTCGGCCATCTGTGTTTGCTGCGAGTGTGTGTGTGTGTGTGTGTGTGTGTGTGTGTGTGTGTGTGTGTGTGTGTGTGTGTGTGTGTGTGTGTGTGTGTCTTATCTCTTGACCACAATCTGGTTTTTCATTTGTTATGCAACACATCCTTTGCCCCGCAGTCGAGTTTGTTTTTAACAGTCTTTCATTTAAAAGGTAGGGTAGGTAAGAATGGAGAAACCAGCTTGAGTGCGCTAGAATTTGAAAATACACAACCGGAAAAAATCTGCTCCTTCCTTCAGACTTCCTCACAGAGCCCCTCGTCCAACACACACAAACGCGCACATGACTCAAACGCCAGCCGCACCATGCTCTTCAACATCCACAGCATGGACTGGGATCCTGAGCTCTGCAGGTAAACAAACAGGAACATATCAAACCACACTAATCACTGTCCAAATACAGACTGTACTGCAGACCTGCTCAATAAAAACCCTTGTCTGTCATGTTTGTTCCACGACATAAAAGAGGCTCCATCTTCACCACTGATTTTGCTGTGGTGGCTGCTTTTAGGTACTTGATGTCCACGATGGAAGTCCTTCCCCACTTGGTCAGCACCCCCTCTGAAATCTACGGCTGGATGGTAAGCTCAGTTAAGCTTCAATTAGACCGTCCCCGGTTTTGAGCATGATTCTGATGGCATCCGACACCTTTTTACCAAAAGTGATCTAACATACACATTTTATACTGTCAGAAACCGTCTATACGACCAATTGGCGGCGGGGGTACGCGTTTTGCCAGAATCAAACCATTGACCTCCAAATGAGTCACTAAGCAGGCTCTAAATATTTAGTTTTTTCTAAATGAAATCTTTCATGCCTGTAATGATTAATTGTAACTATCCCTGTTTCCACATTCAAGTGTGTTGTTACT